GGGACCGCTCTTACCCTTCCTTACCCTCATTTGAGAGGAATGTGATTTGGGGCCCCTGGCCATTCTGTTTGTGCAGACAGCCTGAAGCTGGGCTATCTGTTCCACGCCCCCGGCACTTTCCTTTTTGAGTTCTTTATCGTGCGCTCCAGCACCTGCCACCAGGCGCGTCCAGCCGAACGAGCCGCCTTCCTCCGGAGGCAGCTTGGTGGTCCGCATCCGGCCCTGGGAGAGATTCGCAGCTTTCCTCGCAGGGGCTCGCTCTTTTCCTCCGGGTTTCTCTGCTCAAGGGGGAAAGGGGCGTTAGACATGAGACTCGGTCAGGAAATGACAACAGGGACTTTACGATTGCTGTGGCGGTAAGAGTACCCTGCTGGCTAAGGAGGAATCATCTGCAGACTAACACTCTTCAAAGTTTTAAGGTCTTCAGATTGTATTTTCCCCGTTTCGGTTAGGTTTTTGGGGAATTTATTTCTACTGCGATATCCATTCAAGTGAGCTTCTCAGGCAGTTGCCTTTGGGCAATCCAGGGCAATTTCAAATCCTACAGTCTTAAACATGGTCTAATTTCAATATTTCTATTAGTTATGCATTCTCTGGCTGGTAAACACTCAGGTGCTGAGAACTGCGAGACAGGAGAAGACTTAAAGAGAGAGCTATAATCAGCTGTGATTCTGGAGCGTATGGAAGCATCATATGAGGAGGGACACCTACAATGCTCATATTTTAGTTCCCGCGCTGTTCTGGGATGATCTTGTCCTTCCATCAGGGGCATCGAGTATGGAACTCCAACCTAAGGGAATACTTAGATCATAAACTGATTTGCAGAGTTCCAGTTCCTCTTGTGGTTCATAGAATCAAGAGCTGCCCAAATAAACCTACAACGCTGAAGGATTTACATAAAAGTAGTACAAGGAAAGAGTCCCCTTGCTTATTTTAGGACTTCGATCAACAAAAATTGGTACAACTTTTGTTGAGATCATCCCCTCACATCTTTGTTCGTTGGTCATGCTATTCTGTGGATTAATTTTATATTTATATGTAACCAATCAGTTTGCCAATCACATAGCTTAGCGATTATCTTTGGCTCCTTAATTAGTTCCAGAACCAAGAAAACAAAATATAAGGAATTTCAGAAGCTTGATTTTAAAATAACACGAACCCAGTCTAGTCTTGGTTCAATTATGAGTTCATGGGCTGTGTTATGGTTAAATAACCATAAGTTAAATTTAAGCAATGAAAACGTTTTTGACTAGTGAATCTAGTGCAGATTAGTATCTCCAAATAATTCATTTTCCTGATAAAACTCTATTGTGCACTTTCAGAGCTTGGATTCAACCAAAGATTACCTACTAGCTGTGGAATCTCGGTCAAGTTGCTTAACTCTGTGCCTCAGTTTCTTCCTCTGCAGATAGTGATACCAGCACCTACTCACTTCGTAATGTTGTGGGGAAGATTAGAGATGTATGTAAACGTGCTTAGCCTTTCCTAAGGCACAGATGCTGCTCAATAAATGTTAGTGATTATTATCATTCACTCTTACTGACCTTTGGCTATGTGCTCATTATGGAAAACTTTTGAACAGTAGATACTTAGGGAAAAAAATGTCAAAATCATACAACTACATTTAAGAATGGTGAATGACAGTGATGTTAAACTTCCTGAAAGTATGTATGAAAAGTAGCACCTCCCTGACAGAACATACATTTTTAGAACAGAAACCTTATGGTAGAATGGAAAGAACATTGGAGAGGCAAAGTCTTCAGTTCTAACTCTGGCCATGACCTTGTCTAACTGTATGGCTTTCAGCAGTCCAACCACCCACTCTGGAGCTCGATTTCTTCATCTGGCTGGGCTTGAAAAATCTCTAAGATCCTTTGCAGCTGCAGAATTCTTTACTGCATGTAATAAAAATTACCCTAGCTTGCTTATCACCTTGCCTTTCATTGTTTTGTTAATGTTTGTTTTGTTAACTTGGAATGGAGTCATAAACATTCGTAAAGACAGCGCAATGAAAGAATTGATATCAGATTTGCAAATAATCCAAGATGAAGTTTTAAGAAAGAGAGTAGAAAATAGATTCACATGGAAATCTTTTTGATATTTTAATTCTCCAGTTATTTCAGTAAGTTATTCTGTGAAAAACGTGCCTGGTAGAATCATATATGTTCGACGGAAATCTAGGAAATTGTTTTCCTAGAAAGCAATAGGCTGATGGTGAAATAAAATGCCACTCTCTTTTCTCTCATCAGGTTGATCCTTAAATAAAATAAAAATCTATCCCGTAAAGGGCTTTCATGAAGAAACTAAAGAGAGGCAATTACAAGTAATAGAGAAACTAGGAGTTGTACACTGGAGAAGCCACCTAAAATAACTGGAGTAAGACAAAACGAGTGAATACATCTGGAAGAAATTTTATTTAGTATGGTATTTTTGCCCACTTTTTGGTCATAAAGGCCGCTAAGGAAGAAAGAATATAGTTTTCTAGAGAAAGAACGAGTGTAATGTAAAAATGGAAGCCACAGTTTCTGAAATTCAAGTCGAAAGCAAGGATGAGAAGAGACCAACAGAAGTCAGTCCTCAAGACGAGCGGCAGGAGGAAAAAGCATCAGTGCTTTGCTTCAAGAGAAGAAAGAAAGCAGCCAAAGAGATGAAGCCCAAAGCTAGCTCTAAAGCTGCTGGTGCAGCAAGAACGGGTCCCCCAGAGGCGGGAGCTTCTGATCAGCCCCAGGCCCCAGTGGGGGCCTGGGCGTCAATCAAACGTCTTGTAACACACAGGAAAAGGTCAGAAGCTTCAAAGCAGCAAAAGCCCTTTGAGGCTAAAGTGCAACCTGAAATCAGTGCCGAGGATGCTGATCTTTCTAGGAAAAAGGCAAAATCCAGACTCAAGATTCCCTGCATAAAATTCTCAAAAGGAGAGAAAAGAAGTAATCATTCCAAAATTATAGAAGACTCCGACTGCAGCCTCAGAGTCCAGGGAGAGGCTGAACGTTTGGATACGGAAGCTCCGACCCAATCCGACGAGCAGGCAACCACGCCCAAGTTGCCCCAGGATGTGAGTAAAGCTGTCTCACAGAAAGGGGGCGATGAGGTCTGTGAGCCAAACGGGAGCCACAGCACAACGGCACCTGGGGAAAAAGTGATTGCAGTAGAACTTGGGTTAGACACGGGGCATTCTGCCATTCACACAGGAACTCTAGTCATTGAACGAGATACTGAAACAACTGAGGAAAAACAAAGCGTTCAACCCCAGGAAGCAAGCCCACTTGAAACTTCAGAAACACAACAGCAACCCCCTTTGGTTTCTGATGTTCCTCCCTCACCTGCAGTCCCAGATCAGCAAATTGTGGAAGAAGCCAAAAGCAATATCCTAGAAAGTGGACCAAATTGGAAACAGCACGAAAGTGGAGAGATTGTTGCTGAAGAGAGTGAGCCAAAAGATACTGAACTGAGCCAGGAATCAGAGCTTAGAGGAAATGAGGTCACTGCAGAGAAACCAAAACCAGAAGAAAGCAAAAGAATGGAGCCAATTGCTATTATTATTACAGACACTGAAATCAGTGAATTTGATGTTAAGAAATCTAAAAATGTCCCTAAGCAATTCTTAATTTCAATTGAAAACGAGCAAATAGGGGTTTTTGCTAATGATAGTGGTTTTGAGGGTAGAACTTCAGAACAATACGAAACACTCTTAAAAGAAACGGCTTCTTCTCTTGTCAAGAATGCTATTCAGTTGTCTATAGAACAGCTGATTAATGAAATGGCCTCTGATGATAATAAAATAAACAATCTTCTGCAGTGACTTAATTTCCAGATCATGGGAGGAAAAGAAAAAAAGCTTAATGCTGAATTATTTTACATACTTGCGGCATTTCTTTTTCAGTAACAAATGAGGGATTTATCATCTGTGGAATTTAAAGGTACAGTTCCAATCCAGAAGTGCTAAAGAATTACGTTTATAAAACCCTTTCTCCCCCTGAGATGTAGTCACTTCTGGATCAGAGGAAGCCCATACAGATTGCAATGCACAGTGACATACAGGGAGGTGTGAAAATGACATGTGGAGATTGGGGTACTTGGGGGAAGGAAGCTGTATTAATTGAGCACTTATGGGATGACATAAACTCTTTACTGTTCTCTGATGTCACAAAGCCTGGTTTCCCTTTGATAGTTCGATCCTGTGTATAGGTTAACATCACATTCGATTTTCAAAGCTTCCCCCCCCCCACAGTGCACTTTTATGTTTAAAATGGTGAAGAAGGTGAGCTATTTTTGTCAATGTGTGATTTATAGTTGTTACACTCATAGGCAGTAGTCTTACCTCAAAAAAATATTGCCTTTTCTTAGTTTCAGCAGAATGTGCATATTTGAATTAAACATGAGTGTTTTTCTAGTCCTGCTTAAATACTGTACACAAGCCATTCACAATTTACTTCAGACAGACAAATAATTACCAAGTGCAAAGGTGTAGAAACAGGCAGGGCATCTTCGCTCTCCATCTTCTGCCTCCAGCAGACCTGTATAAATCCATTTCTGCATGGGGTCGTCTACTGAAAAGCTTAAAAACAAAACCTGAAAAGCTAAGCAACAGCAACAGTAGCAACAAAAAGTGAGATCATTGTTTTCCATCCAGGGGAAGGCAGACTGCCCGAGTAACAAATTATCACAGATAACATAGGATTCATCTTGCAGGATTGCTTCTCTAGAGCCCGTATTCATCAACCTCTCCTCAAAGAGGGAACGTGAATTCAAAGCCTGCCTGGCAGTGAAAGTACTAGGAAATCATAATAACCTGGTGAAAATATTGTCCATTCTTGACCAAGAAGGAGCCAAGTACATAGTTGAATAGAAAAAGTAAAAAGTTACTGCTAAAGCACATTGTATTTTAAATGTCAGTATTCTCTCATTGTGCCTCTGTGTCGAGATACCAGTAACAAACATTTTACATGGATTTTGAAAAATAACTTTTTCATCAGTATTTCCAGTCCAGCTAATCCCTTACAGAAAAAAATGAACTTAATGTAACCATAAGGGCTTATTTGCATTTTATTCGGTTATTTAAATCATCGATCTCATTAATAATTACCATATTTTTTGAAAAAGTAATTACATTTCAATCTTTCCTTGTGTGAAATGGCCATAATACTACAATACACTTCCCTACCTCACAGGTAAAGGTTCAAACTGTAGAGTCCCCCGCTGTCTAAGTGGCGGCATTACTCTGAAAGTGGATGAAGTATGAAGAGCTCTCCATTTGAGTTGTAAGGTATTTGTTAAAGAATATTTGTACGTTCTTGGGGAAAAGAGTGTACATTGGATGATTGTAAACGATCTAGGTGACTTCCAGCATTATTACGTATAGAAAGTATGTGCTAATTTGATCTATAGAACCTTCTTTGTTTCTTGCTGTGAGTACATCTTGAGACCTCTGGCAGAAAAACCTAATCTGACTTTGGAACTGAACCAAATAATGGATATTATTAGCAAGATTCTTTCCTGAGGTGCAAAATTATCCCCCCAGACTTTCCTACCTTCATGCCTATAACTTTGGGACCAGAAACCCACAAAAATCCTTCAATTTAGCAATGTGAGCGTGGATTTTCAAAACACATGACCCAAGAAATGAATTTCTTTTAGTGTACAATTTTTAAACATTTAAAAAAGACTGCTAAGTCATTCTCCCTAAAACTACTCTTTTTCATTCACTCTCTGTGGTGCTAATGGACTTGGATGGCTACCAGCAAATATCAGATCATATTTAAAAGTGAACAGTTGTTAAAAACCTGATCAAAGTTGGTGCATTTTAACTGTTTTGAAGAATCCTGTCTTCATTTACTGCCAGAATGGCTCAAGCCAATATACTTGCATTGTAAACTTTTTAGTAATCTCTCATGAATGAGCACAGAGCACAGCACTTACCAGTGATTGAAAATATTTTGGAAGGCTTAGGCATAAGCCTTCCAAAGGCTTAGGCATTTGGGAGTTTTAAAAACAGATACAAGATAAATATGTGTAATTATTTTTGTTAAAATAGCACTTTCTCTAGTCCTAGGTTTCTACCTTTTTTTTTCCCCACTATGGTTTGATATATATTTTTGGTTAGAATGTATTATAATTGATTGTTTCTGTGGTAAGATGTGTAACTCCACTTGCATTCATCTTAATTGGTTTTTCCTTAATCTTTCCTACTGAGAATATCTGGGGAGTTAAATAAGTAGGATTCCAGTTTGAAAAAGGAATCCAGAAATTAATTGGTCTCCACCTAAATATACCTGCCACATGGCCAAATCCTATTAAAAGGAATTCTAAGGTGATCCAAACTGTATTGTTATAGACACAAGCAGGAGTCACATAACTTGGAAGTCTCTTATAAAATATGTTTCATTTCAATAGTGTTTATTTTAAGCAATTCGACCTTATATGCGAGACATTAAATGAATTTAAGTAGGTTCCTATTCAATTCATATCCATTTGACATGATTAAAATGATCATTTAAAAGGCAATTCAATGACACTACATTAATTTTCACTTAAATGTGCTGTGGTATAAATGCTGCTTTTAATGAACACTTATTAATTAGTTGGGATTCAGTTTGTCTTTGAGTTTAGGATTTTACAAGGTGGGTTGGTTTATTGGATGCTTGTTAATTTTTTCGGCACATTGTCTTCCCCCTTCTAAGAGTCCAGTATTATTCACTTCGCTTTACAACCCAGTGAATATGAAAACCCTCTTCCATTTTCTCTAGCACTATTCACTTAACATTTTCTCAAAGTACTTTATAGGGTATAAAAATAGTACTGGGTAATATCTAAGTGAAGGTAGCAGAAAACAAAAGAACTTTCAAACAGAAATTATGTTCCCTGCCTCCTCCTCCACCTCAAAGAATAATAAGCATGTGGCACAAATGGAGTTCTTCAGAAAAGCTGTCTGCATAATTTTCTTTCAAGGCAATTTCAAGGCATTTGACAGCACGAAGTTTGTGATGATCTTAATTGGTCTACTATTTAGTGGAGTCTAAGAAACTCTGATTTATTTCTGAGAGATTGTCTTATTTCACGAGTATCTGTGAAAAGCCTTACTGCTAAAGGCCATTAGTCATGGGAGGGCACCAGTCAAATCTGGCTTTTGCATGCAATCCAGAGTTAACTTCATAAATGTTTAACTTCAAGTTGCCTTATTTTTTATAGTTATGAGTTCATTTGTGGGGGTGGGGGGTTTCCAGCAGAATTTTTAAAATAATTGTTAGGCTTTAGAACCCCATTGTTTGGAAAGATCCTTTTAATCTCAACTTTATTCAGATATGTAAAGTCTTTCTAATCTCATCTGATACTCAATACATCAGGGGTTGACTTTTCTGCCTGCCATTTCTGAAAAAAAATTTGTTTTAAGTCCTCATTTATGGTTTCAGGTTCTTTAGGTTCAAATTCCTATGATGTTTCATCCTGTAACATAAAGTTTCTTATTATGCAGAATTCAATCAATAGTACATTTTATGATACATTTTTGAAAAAAAGTTCTTGCAATCCTTATTTAGTTACAAAAATTAAACAGAAGGAAGCTCCATGAAATTTAGATGTCCTGATTAAATTCAGTTTGGTTCAACATGTGTTGGGTATAACATATGCCCAACACTGTTTGGTGAAGAAGACGGGCTCCCAGCCCTCCAAGAGCTCAAGCCAGGCAACAGCAACCACAGGAACTGGGGCAGGGATTAGGGCAAAGAGCCACAGGCAGTGCAGCACCATGAGTGCCATAGAGGGGAGAATAAAGAGGCACTGGTTAATTTGCCCAGTGTGGGGAGGCGGTCATCTAAATACAGGGACAGTTTGAAAGCATTCAGTTTCTAAATAGTTACACAGTTATATTCATTATGATTTGTGAACAGGTGCAGAAAAAAGCCTGCATAATGTTACATATTTATAGTAGTTCTTTGTCTGTAAAAATGTTAAGTGGATGAGCTATTATGAAAGTAAAAGTTCCATTTTGTATTTCTCATTAAAATTAGTACTATAGGACTGTGGATCAGATGCTAATATTAAAGAAATACTCTGTAGAAAAAAGGTTTTAACCTGAATTAATATATGTACTGACTATTAATATAGAATAAATGTTATATTGGCTCATGTTTATTTTATTTACCTAAATCTTTTAAGAGAAATGTGGTATATTATATTTATTTCCTAAAAGTATAAAGATCACACTGATGAAAACTATTGAGTTAACGTTACCAAGAGTTCTACTTTGCTAGTTGGGTGTTGGACAGATTTTACAATGATCTGCCCAAAAGAGCTCACCTGCAGGGGCTCCTTGGTGGCTCACAGTTGGTTAAGCGGTTAAGCGTCTGACTCTTGGTTTCAGCTCAGGTCATGATCTCACAGTTCATGTGTTTGAGCCCTGTATCAGGCTCCGTGCTGATAGTGTGGAACCTGCTTGGGATTTTCTCTCTCTCTCTGACCCTTCCCTGCTCATGTGTTCTATATATACGGAAACAATCAAACAAACTTAAAAAAGATTCCACCTACAGCAAAGAGAAACACAAACACCTCAAACTTGAATTCAATATCAGCGAACTATCCATCTAAAGGGCATTTCTGACTTTGATGCCATCTATAAATTTGGCAAAAAAGTCCACTTGTTTTCACCATCTCCTACTATACTCATTAGTTGTTTTCCTACATTATATTAACCTAATAATTGTTAGTAATCTTTATGGTTTTCCAAATAATTAAGCAATCTTGATATGAAAATGCTTAAATTATGCAGATGTTGCTGCTAAAGCTGGGTGTTTCACAAGTTCTCTG